TGTGTGTGTGTGTGTGTGTGTGTGGTATGGGGGAGTACCTGTGCTGTCGCTGCAGCAGCTCTGTTCTCAGTTGAACTATATGAATCTGTTCTAACAGGACGTCCTTCTTGCCTTTGTCTTTGCGGACGCCAGACACATTCTGTCCCTTCAGCACCGTCACAAGCAGGATGTCATCCCAGGGACGAATACTCAGACTGCAGCATGAACACACACACACACAAGTTATAGTAAAAAGAGGCTTCAATATTTAACCTTGGGGAAAAATTAAACACACACTGTTTGTCTCACTGTGAGATCTGGACACACACACCTGTTCTTCATGCTTTTCAGCTCAGCTGGTAAAACTCTGTCTGTGTAAAAAACCTGCAGTTTGTGGATGAAATCTGAAGTAAAATCATCCATCACGATCTGTCTCTGCACCGACGCTACAACCCTGAAAACACACAGGCGCACAAACAGAGGGAGCAGGTCAATATCCAGGTGAATTCATCGACTGATTATAAAGAGGAAAGGTACGACAGCTCTCTGAAAGTGAAGCCAACTCCTCTGGATTGCCCCCTGGTGGCTCCAGGTGGAGACATAATCTTTATGAACAGTCTATGTGTGAATTAATTACAGATACAACACAGGAAAGGTTTCTGTGTGTGGGCGTGTCGTTACCTCTGCAATAGCACCACTTTAGCCTGGTTGACATTGGCCATGAACGGGTGCAGGATGTAACCTCTGGAGAGAATCAGATTAATCACAAACAAATGAGTGCACACAAAATTCAAATTTAGGTAAAACATGAATCTAGAACAGAAAGGGCTTCTTTCTGTATATACATGAGTGTGTGTGTGTGTGTGTGTGTGTACCCTGAGGATTGAAAATGTTTAATAAATTGTTCTGCGGCTCCCAGTCCCATGATGGCAGCAGCTCTGCCGTTCTGTTTGTCTGCTTGGTTGAGGAACGATGACACAAACTCGTACACGTGCGTGTAACTGCGGAAAAAGAAACATCAATGTTTAAACTGCACCTCCATCACGTTCCGTGTTGGTTAATAAAGTTAGTGTTCGGGTGACGAGGTTCCGGATCCAGATTGAAACAAACACAAGGTCAAAACTATGTGGACAATCCTTCGTTCACACTTTTGTGTTCTTTTGATCTGAGGTCCAATTAAAATGTTCCCTGTAGAGCCTTTGATGTCTAGTATGAGTTTCCTTTTCACCATATTCCCACAGCGGCCATTTTCTTCCGAGGGAATTGACCTCATTCCCATCCAACACCTTTGAGACGAACTTGAGCTCAGGCCACGTCGTCCAACATCATTATCTGACCACACTAACAATCACTCCTGCAGCAGGGTTTCAACTTTCCTGCAGACAGTAGACAGACTGTTTTCATATTTATATCAGGAATTTTATAATAAAAACTCACACATCTCTTACATAGAAACAGAGTAAGCTCATCTGAGGGTGGATGGCTGTTTTTTCTCGTGGATATTATAAACACATCTGCTGCGTAACTCACTCATAGATGATGTCCAGCTGGTTTGGAAGGTTCAAACCTCCTTGAAACACCTTTCCTTTCAGGAAGATTGACAACTGTAAATAGAGCTCTTGTCTGAAGCTCTGAAGCATTGTCTCTAAAAAAAACAGAAGACAGATCCGATGGCAGTGAAATGACGTGCAATTAAAAACAATAACAAGCGGTTCAGGTCGCCCCGGATGTGAACACCTGTCTCTGTGCGTGAGCGAGTACCTGCAAGACGGAGGTGAGCATCTATTTCAGACAGAGTGAGGTTGAAAGGCTTCAGTCCTCCCAGCAGTGAGCTGCTCCGCTGGTTGCTCCAGAAGTCGCTCCTTTTGTGGCTGTTGCAGTGACACAGGCCGCTCTGACACCACATTACACACTAGACAACACACACAACACGGCAATCTTGTGACAAACGTATCCAAAAACTATTTTCACATTTCCTCTGTAGGTTTGCGGCTGTTTTGTATTTCACACACACACACACACACACACTGTGTTAGTGCACGTAGCTCATTCTCCACGTTTAGTTTAAGTGTACGTTTAAGTAAGACGGTCAAGTCCCAATGTGTCTGTTGTCTGTAAAGTTTTTAAAGACAGTCTTGCTCACACTGAATATTTAAACTGAGTCAGTTGGGCTGTATTCAGTCCCTCCTGCAACAGATCAAGCATCTTTACACACTGCATCATCCACATACCACTGACGCCAGCTTGTCACAGATGTAGCAGAAGCACTGGTCACATAAGAGCTGGTTACTGGCCACAGGAGAAGCCACCTCACAATCTGTAGCCCTGAGCAGGACAGAAGAGAAGCAGGGTTATTATCTTACATTGGGGGATGGCAGAATTTCCCCAAGTGTGTTTACTCACGTGAAAGGATGAATGGGACAGTCGTAGCGTGCGTGAGGCAGCACCTCAGCACGGCGGGAGAATGTGATGACCAGGTCTTCATCCAGAGCACTTTGAGATAGCACAACATCTGAAACACAGAGGGAGGAGGAGGAAGAGGAGGAGGAGGAGCCGCTGATGAGCATTTATAACCTCCAATCTTCACACATAATACAGGTGAATAATGTTGATACCATTCTTCTTGATATCCTCCACCTCCACTATGAGAACTGAGGCGTCACTGCACGATCGGTCAGGTTCTTCATCATCATCACTGAGAATGATTATTTCTCCATTGTCCCCCGTTGTACACATCAGAAATGTCTGGGAGAAAACAAGGAAAAGAAAACTTGTTCTAAAGTTATTGTACTTGAATAATAACTAAGTAAGTTTTCAATCTTAATTGTGTCTCTGCTGATAAAGAAGAGTTTAAAACCGTCACTCAGGAGCAAAATCAGTCTTTAAACTTACAAGAAACAATAGTGCGGCATTTCTCGTGATATTCATCGATACTGACTGATTTGAATCTTTTTATTTTGATCTAACTTTTGTCCATATATCGTCCAGCCCTGGGATCTTGTTTGTTACTGCTGCAGTCGTCTGCTCCAGGGTTCATCTGTAAATGTTCATAGATGAAACCATGTGTGTGGGCTGGACTCTAAAAGTTAAATTATTATTTCAAGCAAGTAAAGGTTGAAGTTTTATTGACACAAATCTCAGCACATTTATTAAATGAGACTTCCTCACTGAGCAAAACAACATGTAAACAAACACAACACTTTTAAAACACTTGCTGTTGATGACTGATTATTATAGATGCTGGGATTATTACAGTCATCATAAATGTCCGGACTTAAAATGAGACGTTTGTTTATTTAATCTTAAGTTCTTCAAAAACCTTCACGTCGCTTTGCCACTGAAACTGAAACACGTTGAACTTTAACTTACTTTCAGGAAGCTAGCTGTTAGCTTCCACCAGGGCAGCGAGCTCAGAGTTAAAACCCCAGAGTGTCGGTTTCCTCAGCCGCGTCTTGTTCCAGAGTTTGATTCAAAGTGTATTCACGTGTTTGTGTTGTTGTTGTTGTTGTTGTTTATCGGTGTTCTTACCTTTGTTTACTGTCGCGTCACCAAAATAAATGTTTCGCGCCGGGTTTCTCAAATCTGATAGCACCGGAAGTCGCACGATTTCTTCTTCTTCGTCTTTATTAGCAACTCGCCAGCTGTGTTTGCTGCCCTCAACAGGACCGGACTGGAACTTGAGGTAAATACGAAGGCAACGTAATATAGAATAATGTGATATCATATAATCAAACTAATGAAACTATATATACTATACTATATATATATTTGTCTGAAAATTGCTCTGGTACATTTTATGAATCACTGTCTTCATATTAATTCATGTGAACTATCCCTTTCCAAATGATTACAAGTTAAAGTTAAACACTTCCTGACCCATAATCAATTTTTAAAACTTGTTTCATCTCTATAATTTTATTGTCTTAAATACTTACTCAGCTGTACTGCTCCCTTTTACCTTCAAAAAAAAACATACTGTGTATATACTTCTATATTTATATTGTTAGATTTTAATACTTGATTTTCTTATCTTCTTATATTTAGAGATGTCCGACATGCACCAACAACAACAAAACAAATTCCATGTAGTGTAAACTTACTTTTTTGCTTTTCTGATTCTGATCTGATTCTGTTGACAGGTGTGATCGTATTGTCTTCTAGCCCACGCTGTCCAAACCTCAGTCCACCAATTTCTCCATTTATTTGATGAGAAATAATTTAAAGCTGATCTTAACTTACAATAAAGTAATTTCAGTGTTGTCATTTAATGTCAGAACTTTCCAATAAATAAATAAAATCAGAATTTAAACTGAAGAAATGTGAAGAGTTCTAAGAGTTTCCAGTTCGGGATAAATGTCAGTTTAACGGCATATAACCTGCTGAAATGTTTAAATGTTTCCTTTCAAGAACCAAACTGGAACTGAAAAAAACCCTCAACATCTGCCTCATTACCTTTAGTTATTAAGTCTTTCATTTTTGAAGCTATTACCTCAAAAGCAAAGTGTTAAAAGAAAACGATCTAGAAAAAATTAAAGATGAAGCTGTGTTGAAATCTGAAATATTATTTTATTGCAATATAAATAACAATATCATAGATTTTCTTGTGTGAAATGAAATAACATACAGTCCATTCAGCAGTTTTCCAAGAAGAGAATGAAGAAAGATATTTTTCAAGAGTGTTGTTACAGAGCAGTCTTGTCCTTACGGGAATAATATCTCCGAGCTGCTGCTCTCTGGTTCCTCTGAGATGATGTCAGTCCATCTGCAGCTTCGGTTTCCAGCTCTGCAGCTTCTGTTTCAATGTGAAGCTCTGCCTGTTCATCCTTCACATCCAGAGCAGGCGTGACCTTCAGCCACTCCTGGTAGAAACCACGAAACCCATCGATCTGGACCAGGTAGTTGTTTCTGGACTTGTACTGGGAATGAGAGAAGAACAAAAAGTTGGAGAGAGCTGGATGCCTGGGTGGAACTCCTGTTGCGTCGTGCACTGTGCATGTGCTCACCTGGTTGTAGTTGGGAGGATACTGTGCGGCAAACTCCAGCTGCTTGATGATGACCTCGTTCGGCCACACCTCCATCTCGCTCATAGTTTTGAGGATCATTTTAAGGTAGACGTAATCCAGTCTCCGCGTTGCTCTGCCAATCAAAGCTGAGAACACATGCACGTTCGGCCTGAGCCCCGCCCCCTTCAGAAAAACACAAGAGACAGACGTGATGACGGAAAGTTTGCGTGAATACTATTTCTGTCGTATCTAATGGTTCATCAGATGCTGCAAACATTACACAGCAATGTCTACTCTGACGATGAGGAAGTGTCATTCTTCACCTCCATGTCCTTTAGCAGCTGCAGGGCGTCTTTCTGTCGCTCGCAGCCTAATGCGAGGCTTCCAAATGTCTGCACGTCCACGCTCACGTGTCGCTGCCGCATCACACTCAACACGCCCTGGAAGGAGAAAAGCATGAATAAGAAAACCCGAGGACACACTGACAGCAGCTCTTTGTCCAAATTACAAAAAGAAGACATCCACAAATTTCAAGCTTCTGTTCACACAGCGAGTGTCACAGCTACAGACCAACGTAGTGTGTTAGTCTGTTCACCTGTGCCGCCTCCAGGTCACCAGCTCTGGTCGCCCTGCGAATCACAGAGTTAAAGAACGCTACGTCGAGCTTCACGTGATGCTTCTTGGCGGCCCTCAGCAGCATCTGCAGAGACTGGTAGCCCGGCTCCATCGTGTCCCCCAGCAGCGTCAGAGTCCTGAGGTCAGGACTGAGTCCGTTAGCTGCCATCTTTTCCAGAAAACCTTCAGCTCCTCCGATCAGGGCGAGCCGATCATATGCTCCATCTACAGCGCCGAGGGAGACCACCGCACACTTCCTCCCCTCAAAAAGGTCCAGCAGATTAGGGGGTGAGTAATTCACTGAGTCAACAGAGAGGGGGGGGCTTTCTCTTTGACTGACTGGTATCAGCTGGTTGGATTCTCCTCTGCTGACGGACTCGTCACCGTGTCTGAGTGAACCAGGTTCGATAAACAGCTGCCTCTCCAGAAGCTCAATGTCTATTGTGTCCTTACGTCTCGACCTTGACTTGACATTTGACACTTGTGGCGTCTCTTTCAGACTCTCCCACTCACGACTGAGCAGAACGCTGGAGGCCAGGGCAGGATCACCAATCCCACAGTCCCTTGCAGTTCTTAAGAGTAGGGTATAATTCTTAGAGTCTGGACGAATCCCTGACTTCAACATCTGGCGCCAAACCTGAAACAAACAAAAAATAGTCAGACTACATCCACAGTAAGATGTTTAACTTTTTAAAACACTGTTAACATGTTCAAGCAAAATGTCCCAAATCCTTTTTGATAAAAAGAATCTTAGTTCATCCTGAAACATCAGAGCAACGGAAAAAGAGCTCAAGTTTTCTAGTCCTGCTAAAGTCCAGATATCCAAACGAGTATGAGATTGTGATTTCATTTCAAAACTAAAATAAAGGTAAGTGACAGCTGCACCGTGCGGTTGCTGATATTGAAATGTAATCAAATAGTAAAAGTTTTACAGGATTAAATAACTCTGGAGAAGGTTATGCTTCGAGCTAAGTTGATTAATCGATTCGTTTCGCTAAAGGAAGTTAATCAACAATCATTAAAAAAATTACGTTATTTGTTTTTAAGCAAAAACTTGAACCGGTCCTTGTTTCTCAAATGTAAACAATACAGGCTTATGTTCAGATGATACAAACAATTTGAAAGCATTAGGGAGGAAAAATCACTTATTCACTTATAAAAAATAAAAAAGTTTAACAATAACGTCTTATTCCCTAGAAAATCCTGGACTCATTGGGATCGTCTGGTAAACGTGCGTGTACCTGTAAAGCCAGTCTGAATCCTGTTTCTTTGTCCTTCAGGCAGCCCATCAGCAGGTAGTGAAATGTCTCCGGAGTTACAACATGTCCGTTCTGCAGCATCTCCTACAAACACACACAAATTCATGTATGACACAAGAAATATCCCACAATCCACTGCACTGGTTGCTGTCTGTACGACACAAATCTCCCACCCTGAGCGTGTGAATGCAGGCCTGCAGGTGGTTGGTGAAGGCGTGTGTCTTGAGCAGGGCGTGGTACGTGATGGTGCTGAGGGGGTAGTTCTTGCGGCGGAGCTCCTGCTCCAGCTTCAGCGCTTGCTGCAGACCGGCTTGTTTTGAAGGCGACTGGGCGCAGGCGTTGAACAGTGCGGTGTAGGTCGCATCTACGGCCTCCAGACCTCGCTTCTTCATCTGGACAACACACAAACACACAGATTGTTTCATGATCGGGGGGGGGGGGGACGTCAGCGTTTGTTGATCAGTCTCAAGAAAGGTACAACTGTGATTTCCGTCGTTGTGTTTTAGATCACTTGTGATATTGTGTTGTATTTGAAGCACAGGTGAAACTGACGTCATTGTAGAGTCTGAAGGCCTGTTTCAGTTGTCCGGCTCGACCACAGCCTCCGATCAGGACGGTGTAGTTGGACTCCTCCGGCTGCAGCTTCTCCACCTGCAGCATGTCTCTGCTGAACAGGTCCAGAGCCTCCTGCAGCTGAGAGGACACACACATGGTGAAACACACACACACACACACACACACTCACACACACACACTCACACACACACACTCACCTTCTTCTCTTTAATCAGCCTCTTGCACTGTAAGAAGTACCAGTGTGGTGTGTTTCTCCTCCGGGGCCTCCTCACATCCTCCTCCTCCTCCTCATCATCATCATCATCCCGGGACTCTTGCTCTGGGTGCCGCAGCTCCTGGGTGTCCGGGCCGCTCTTCCTGAACGACCTCCGGGAGGAGATATCGGCGGAAAGGGAGCCGAAGTTCTCTCCATCTTCTGGGGCCGGGGGGCCACCGGGGCTGGGCTGCGACCGGGACACACACCGGAGCGAGGGCAGGAGCCAGGGAGCCGGGGTGAGGAGCCCGGGGGACCGGTGCTGTGACGCGTCCCGTACCCGGGTTGGAGTCACACACCTCGGGGAGCTCTTCGCAGAGAGGAGCGACAGCTGAGCCACCGGGGCGGACATCCTCCTCCCGCCCCGCACACACGAACAGGCGACGGCCGTCAGCATGTCGGTCGGTCGTTAACGAGACAACCAGTTAACCGGTTAATCGACCGACGCGGTTAAAGAGACTAGTGACGCTAGTTAGCGGCGACTTCACACACGACGTCCGCCATGCTGACTCCGTGACACGGACTCAGACCCGAGTAGCAGATTGCGGACCACACTCATAAACCAGTGTTTTTTTTAACACATGGAGCGATTAAAGAAGGATTTTCTTTTAATTTAAATGTTTATGTTAATTACTGGGATATATTAAGTGTTTACATGACGTCATTTGTCCCGGTTAGGCCCAGGTTAAAACAAGATGTTCGATCTATTCCGTCGGTGATTGATTATCATGCCTGAGCTGGTCTGCCCTCTGTGTGTACGCCACCGCCCCCTGCCGGTTCAAACTGTTGTTACACTTTCAGTCGCTTCCTGGGGCGACGTGAGGTGAAGACGGTTTATTATAAACAGTTAATTATATTTTTATACATTTATATATTTATATATTTATACATTTATACATTTATATAGAGTGTATGGTTTAAAATAACCAGAGTCCACACACACACCACGGATACACACTACAGTGATGGAGGACAGAGCTGGAGACCCATCACCACCACTGGTACAGGTTCTTCTTTCTACTTTTAGCCTTGAAATCATTTATAATTATAATAATTATAATGATAATAACTGATTTTTCTTCCTTATAATAATGGTTATAAACTTTTTTTACACATCACTTTACAAACAAAGTTGCAAAGTACTTAACAAAGTTGAAACAAGTTGGAATATGACAGGACGGAGGCATCAATAATGATTTATAGTCAATGAAACAGACAGGACATAATACGATATCAACGGTGAACTGGATTAATACAAAGCTTTCCTAAAGAGGTGGGGTTGTGAGGTTGTGAGGTTGTTGTCTCAGCAGAGGGCTCCAAAGTCCAAGTAAACAATTTGACTTTGAATTTACAATACGTGCTTGTGGAGATATTTACTGAAGTGATTAAAAGGGAACGAATAAGATCAGCACTTATACATATCAACTAAAAATTTTATGATTGCTGCAGGACCCTGAACATGACCGACAAGTTCCACCCTCCAATGACACGCCTCATCCTGGTACACACACACACACACACACACACACACGTTCCATAAAAACATGTTATTAATTATATATCACATTATAATTTTTTTGCTGTAATCAAAAACAATTGTTTAAATCAAACAATATTTGATGTCTCTTTTCTGTAAATGTGTTTTCCTCAGTGATGATGCAGTTTTTAAATAGTCACTTAAAGCTCTATTTTTAAAATCTGAATCCACACTTCACGTGTTAAATTGTGTTTCTATTGTCAAATGAACAGACGAACTTCAGACCAGAGCGGACTTATTACAATGTGAGTCAAGTGAGATCACTCCTGAGGTTAAATACTGTCACGTATGATGTGAATAGATGAAGGACACATCATGTGACCCGTACTTCTTCCTCCAGATTGCTGTCCCCTCACCCTGGACCCGAACACAGCGTTCAGAGAGCTGCGTCTGTCTGAGAGCAACAGAAAGGCAGAGCTCACAGAACTTGTCCAGCCGTATCCTGAACACCCAGACAGGTTCTCTCACCTCTTTCAGGTGCTGTGCACAGAGGGCCTGTCAGGACGCTGTTACTGGGAGGTGGAGTTTAAAGGCTCTGTTGAGGTTGCAGTGGCGTACAGAGGCCTTGGCAGATCAGATTATTATGACGCGTGCGCGTTTGGCTGCAACGACAAGTCCTGGAGTTTAGACTTAAACAGGAATTATGAGTGTTTCAGACACAACGATGAGGAGACCTCCGTGCCGGAGTCTCAGTCCTCCACAGTCGGTGTGTACCTGGATTATAAAGCAGGTACTCTGACCTTCTACTGCGTCTGTGACACGACGCTGCAGCGGATGCACAGAGTCGAGACCACGTTCACTGAGCCACTCTACCCCGGGCTGTGGGTCGCAGACAGCGCCCGGCTGTGTGACCTGGAGTGAAGGTCCAGCAAACAAGTGTGTGGTCTCTCTCATGGTCCTCTGATGATACTGTACTGTGGTGGGGATTGGGATGTGGATTTCAGCAGGTTTCATTTTTAATTTTTATTATGTATTTTATTTGAGAACTCTGTATGTGCTATAGTGAAAACTCAATTTAATAGAATTATTAGGGATTCAGGATTTATCAGATATTAACTAATGAAAATGTGACTGGGCACTTTGTTTAAAAAGTACATATACATGTTTAGATGCAAAACAAAAAATTTAAAATGTGTTAACAGGCTGTAAATATGAAATAAATAAATCACACTTGAAATCAGTGCAGGACGTCTGAGTTTCAGTGTCCTGCAGGAATAACAGAAGAACAAGACTCAGACTGCACCTGAGCACAGACCTCATGATCGTACACAGACCACAATTAGAAAGATCCGTTAACATGGAGGTTTATTACAACATTAAAGTTTCAGAACAATTACATCACTTGAGTTATATTTTTGACACTTGCCTTCAAAATAGCAGAGATGATTTTTAACTGAGAAGCCAGAGTTGAGGCCCTTGTGGCATCGAGTGTGAAGAGTCGTGGATCGAGAGACTGAAAATCCCTCCCAGCTGCAGAGCATCGATATGAAGCCGACCCTGACTGGTCAGTTTCCCTTTAAAAACCATCATCACTGAGTTAATGTAAACAAGCATTGATAACAGTACAGATGAGAATCACTCACTTTCATTTGTTCATTTATCTTCCTACCAAAAAAAACAAAACAAGAAACAATCTGAGTCTGAGCACCTTCAGCTGTTGAGCACCAATCACAGTGAAGCTTTCTGCTGATGTCACAGAGGGGATAAATGCGGTGGTTGGGCCACGTGGCTCTGAAACAGGGTTATTCGATCCAGCAGCGTTAGTGGGATGTCTCTGATGACTGCAGGCAGGTCTTCATGTTGTAGAGGATAGATGACCACACTCAGTGCTGAGCGCTCTGCTGAAAATCTAAAGAGAAAACACACGACGAGGCCACGTTAAAGTTTCATCTCACAATTAAACGACAGACGTTCGATTTGTGTGCACACGCATACACACACACAGTCACTGACCTGTCCAGCAGAGCCTTCTGCAGCGTGCGACAAGACACCAGGGTGCCGCCCATGAACATATGACACATGACGACGTGACAGCATCGCTCCATGAAGGTTTCTGTGGCCGACGGGTCGAAGGTGCCGCTGCGCGAGATAAGGCAGAGACGTCGCAGGCGCGAGCAGGAGGACAGGGCCTCAAAGAACGATGCGTTGGCGTTCAGGTACGGCTGCTCTAACCTGAGGAACACAAACACGCAATTCATCACAAAAAACGTTTCATGACAAAAACACAACAACAATCTATACGATGAATTAATAATAGAGTTAAATAAATCTGATGGTGTTTATTATTGCAGCAAATGACAAAGACGTCTGCTCACCTGAGTTCCTGCAGCTGTGTGCACTGTTTAAGTGCGTCCAGCAAGGCTGGGGTGTAGTTCATGGTTTTTAATGATCCCATGTTGGCGAGTGATAAAACCTGCAGTTCTTTGCACTGCCCGGCCAGCTGGACCAACCCCGTCCCCCTCAAGACCCCAGGAAGCCCAGCAAGAGTCAGACGACGTAATCGAGGCAAAGCTTCGAGGGCAGCTAAATGTGCATCGCCGACTCCTCGAGCCCACGCACACATTCCACGAGGCTCGACGCTGGCACGAGAGCAGGGCTCGAGCCGAGGCAGCGTAGAGACAAAACCTGGGCCGATGAGCTCGAAGGTCTCTAAAAAAGGGCAGCCGGCAAAGAGCTGAGCGAGCCCGGAGGTGCTGTCCCCCGACAGAGACGACTCACACTCAGCTTTGTAGTTCTGGATCCCCACGCGAGGAACTTTCTTCAGCCCCAGGAACAACGGAGAGGGAGACGTGTTATTTGTAGAGATGTGATGTGAGTTCAAGCCGTCTGACAGAGCACAGGCCGGCAGAGTGAGAGAGCGCAGGTGTCTGAATTTGGCCAAGCTGCCACACAGGTGTGTTTCTCCACCGGGCCCAGGTGAGTGTTCATGATGGTAGTGTGTGTGCATCAGGTTCAGGTGTTTAATGTTCGAACAGCCAACCGCCAACCGGCTCATTGTCCCAGGGACCAGGTGATCTTCAACATTCCTGCACTCCGAGTAAAGGACCTGGTTGATCCCGCTGAGGTTCAGGCTGGTGAGCTGCTTAGCGTCTCTGACTCCTCCCTCCAGCAGCGATTGGAACACCTGTGGCCACAAAGACGGGCAGCGGCTGAAGCTGAGGTGCTTCGGACTGTTTCCTTCCAAAGCTCTCTTTAGAGACAGGGAGTCAAGCCAGGAGCGAGGGAGCTGCAGGGCTTCCAGGTCCCCTCGTTGACCCAAACTCTGGGCCAGTGAGGGAGCAGCGGGCCAGTGAGCCGGGTTTGGGCCAGGAATCGAGACGAGGAAAACTCTGAGGCGCTTTGGAACGTGAACGCTGAACACTGCCAGGTAGAGAAGGAGCAAGGTCTGGTTCACCTGTGGACATTAATACAAAGTTACAGCAGTGTATATTACAGGTACACAACACATTACCTGTGTACGTATGGGAACCGACTGACCTCTCCTGGAGCCAAACGTGCAGTGAACTCCTCCAGCTGCTGGTAATGTGGCACACTGCTCTGACCCACCATTAACTGACAGCACACACCGACGCCCTCTCTGGTCACATCTGAGATGTCAAACTGCAGCATCAGCCTAAGATACACAGACAGGTTCTGGTGATGCTTCGACTTTTCATCTGGTGCCCTCGTTGAAGCAACACTGTGTCATTTCTACTTAGCAACGGCGCCCTCTGCAGCCACACGTGGGCTCTGTGTCCGAATGATTAAGAGGTAATTAGGTTGCCACTGTAACAAATCCACCAAACTCTGTTAAGAATCCTTCATATTTTAAAAGTTTTCTGGCTGAATATTAATATTAATTAATACAATTACATTAAAAACTGATTAAAGTAAATATGTGTGTTCCCTGTTTGAAATCTCAGGAATCTGACGGAATCCTTACTTGCGGAGTTGGGCGCAGCACGGCACCACGCCATAACTCGGAGTTAACAGTGTCTGCCTGAGCTCCGACAGGCGGCTCAGCGAACCCACGGCCTCTGAGCTGAGCTGAGCGGAGTTGAAGCCCGCTGTCACATCGAAAGCGAGCGATCTGAGCGAGGAGAGGGAGGAAAGGAGGCGGGACAGACGAACGGAAGTGAGGCGACAGCCAGTGACATCGAGGTGCGTCACCGCCCTGCAGCGGGCAAGTTGATCCAAGGTAGAGCCGGACAGCCAGTAGCAACCGTTCAGGCTCAGAGACTGAGCGTGATTGGCTAGCTGCTTCAGTATTTGCCGAACCAAATGATCATCAGCCTGAAGGAGAAGCAACAACGAGATGTTTGAAATGTAAGTATGGTTGTTATGAACATACGAAACCTTCCACACATACACATGAACTTTCACATATAATTTGTGGTAGAGATCCTGATCAGAGCACAGAATAATCAAGAGCTTTGTTCTGTAGCTTTACCAGGTACTCCTCGGACAGGCTGACGTGTGTGAGCAGGGTCTTATCGTGACACAGCATCTGTAACTTGTGGCAGACGTTTGCCACGTTCAGCAGCAGGTCGCACACGGTCACATGGCGGAGGATGCACAGCAGGATCTCGTCGGACAGGTCTGACATACCCACTGACGTAGAAGACATGGTGTCCTCATCGCACACCGCCTGAAAACAGTGAAAGAAATTACCTCTATGGCAAAAAAAATGCAACAGGCCAATTACGAATTCTTTGTATTTTGTTATTGAGATCTGGCACAGAGACAGACGCTGTCAATCAGACTGCAAATTCTAGTCAAGTCAACAAAAACACAAATTAAACAAATCAAAAAATCAAGTACAAGAATTTAAAAAAATAAAGGAGGAATAAGAGGCTAAGAAGTGAATGAAAACAAGCTGTAGATGCTCGAAAGCCTGAGAAAACATGTGGGTCTTCAATTTACCATTAATACATCTACGGGAGGGAAACACTTCATTGTAAATATTGAACTGAATATCGCCTTTACCCCTCAGCCGAGACCAAGGCACGGCAGGTTGAGTATCTGAGAGATCTGGGAGAGGAGGAGGGAAAGAGAAACTCGGAGATGGGGCGAGATGCTGTCTATCTTCCTCTCATATACT